AATGCTAGAGGATCCTTGGCGTGACCCACTGACTCGATAGGCTGCCATGTTCGCGTCACCGGCGATGATGCCGACCTGGTAGTGGAAGCAGTCCGCCAGCGTGACGCCCATCGCCTCGTGCATGAGCGCGGGCCGTTTGGAAGCCACTTTAGCGTTCTATGGAAGGCACAGATGCGAAACACTGTCATGCCGCAGTGCTCGATGTCGTCCTCCATAATATGGTTCTGGTCAAACCGTTGTGAGAGGTTGCTTCCCATTTTGCGGATTGCTGGCGGCGTGGGAGATTTGCCAAACCGGACCTCCACGATCCAATAGGACAGTGGCAGGGTCTGATGGAGCTTAGGCGGCAATTTGGAGCCAGCCAAGTGCTGGATGTACTCCTGGCAACAATTGGTCCTGATCAACACTGAGATGTCGTGACCCTTGTTAATTTTGACCATCCAACCGTGTCTAAGGCAACCTCGTTGAGCTCGAGGTGGGTTGACTCGAGGAGCACGATTAGGTGGCTCTTACTACGCGCCAAGCTTTTGACCAGAGGACCAACGCCCTGTTGATCGCGCTTGTCGATCAGGTTGGCAGGTTGGCAAACTTCTCCGGAATAGCGTTCTTACGACCGCGAATGAAGTTCCCCAGATTGACGGTGAGGAACGCAAGCGACTCCTTGGAGGTGTAAGCAGGAGGCCCATCTCGGCTGGTGTCAAACTCCTCCCGAAAGCAGGTCTCCTCATCCTCCAAAATTAGGTCGCCAACCTCCTTCACGGCAATTTTGCCGGCCAGGAAGTAGTGGAGCATAGCATTTTGCAGCTGCTCGCGAGTACCTCCTTTAGCAAGGGGCTTCAGACACAGCTTCTTATGCGCTCGCTCCACCCTGGTGCCCGCATCTGACGACATCTCTAGCAACTCCTCATCATAGCCGCTGCGAGCGTTGCCAGCGTTGAAGGAAAGAAACGTCATTCTTCAGCTTACGGCCCATGTACACAGGAGGTAGCTTGGCCATTTCCGTGAAAAATAGCAGTTTCGGAAGCGCGAAACTTCTCGAAAGGATGCCGCTCTGGGAAATCTGGATGCGTAGTCCTGTAGTTCAGGTGCCAAAGCTTGAAGTCGATGACGCCGTCGCTACGGCGCTCATCATGGTATAGAAACCACCATGTGGGCCGCCGTGCGTCTGGTGTGTAAGGAGCCGAGTAGGAGAGCGAGACTCACGGTCAAGCTTCTCCGCACGAAGAGCTGAGAACTGCGGACCTTTGCCTGATAAGAGTGTTCTCATCAGCGTCCTATTGGCATTCTCGATGAGCTCATCGTTGCACTTTGACGGGAAGAACTTTCCTGGACCGGAAACGGCCTCAGGGTCCTCCTCCAAAAGCTCATAGGCTTCAGGAAGCATTGTTGTCTCGGTCTCATCCCATACGCCCTGGCGAACCTTCTGTTTTGCCTCCTCATCTTGCGGCTCCATCTTAGTAGGCTCAGCAGATCCCTCTCCAGAGCAAAGGCCTTCTGCCGGCGCCGTCCTAGTAGAAAATTTGAAGGGTACCTCTTCCACATAAAACCTTCCCCCGCATGTCTTCCTTGAGCTTTTCGTCGGCCTTTTTGGTGGATATGCCTCTCCCAGAAAAGAGCCTTCCTCCGGCTTCTCAGTGGATACCTCTTCCATAGAAGAGCCTTCCACAGGAGCGGCCTGCGCGCTGGAGCTCCTCATGGGGACATCTTCCTGCCAAAGAGGCCGACTCAACCTCCATTTCCTCCACGTAGGTTCGTGAAGGCAAAGAGTCAATGATCTCTTCCACGAGGAAGTCCTCGTAGGGCCTGTCAAGCAGGTCCTGGAAGCTGTCCGCGTGCTTGGCCTGGGCTAAGTTGTGCTCGCCCAAGTCATTGAACGCCTTTCGCCCAAAGTGTGAGGCGAAATTGCGGGCGCTCGGCTCCTCGCCTTCCCAGCAAAAGATGAGGCGAGGACAGAAGGGCTCGCGGAGGCTGCAGTCGAACACGTTATCGCGGTTGTCGAGTGTCATCACGAATCTGGATCTCAGTGGTTGTCCTGGTTGAGGCGGAGGTACTTGAACAAATCCTCGCCACACAACTCAGCAACGCAATCCACGACAAAGTTGAATTCCTGTCTGATGCGCTCGAACCTGCGGTGCACGGCAATCTCATGCAAGTACTGACGGTGTTTCTCCCAGGCCTCGGCATAGTCTTCATCGCTCAGATCTGTTGGAGAAGGTTCCTTAGCCCGCTTGCCCTTCGGCCCCGGCGCAGGGAAATCAATGAATTCGGCATGAATCTGAGTGCGATTTAGGAAATCAGGAAGAAAGCCGAAGCCGGACTTGTAACCGGTCCCTGGATAACCGGCCTTGTCCAAGCGGGTGTAAACGCTCTCCTTTTGCATCTCCGTGCGCAGGTTTCCCTGCCACTTCCCCAGCTCAGGCGCCTTGAGGAAGAAATGGACGGACCAGCCACTGAGCGGATGACAGACCCAGCCATCTGGACCCATGTCGCTTAAGGACTGCTTGAGGTTAGCGGGGACCTCAAACCATGAGGTCGTCTTCGCCCGGCCATCTCCGAGGTCGGAGAGGACATAAGCGCCAGTAGGCCACTTAAGTCGGGTAAGGCCCTGATCAGAGAGGAACCACGGATTCGAGTTCACCTTCTTCATCAAGTTCTCCTGCTCAAGGATGCGCTCGCGCTCCAGCGAGATCTTTGCATCCACCTCAAGCGCCTCATCGCAGGGAATACGCCGTCCCTCTGACGAGGTTTGTTGAGCGAGCTCCTGCTCCTGAATGACCTTACGCAAGTCGTCAATATTGAAAGTGGGAATGCTCGCGCTGTCGTCTGGTCCCTTTGCAAAAGCAGAGCCTCCAGCCGCAGACGATGAGCTTGCTGCGGGTCCCTCTCCCATAGGAGAGCCTCCCGTCGCGTGTGGCTCAGAGGATCCCGTTCGTATAGGAGCGCCTTCCTCCTCATGCGATCCCACCGTCAACCTGCTGTGTCCTTCTCGCCGCGTGTGGAACGTAAGGTACTTGGCCGGAATGGAGCCATAGCAAAGCACGAAGCCACTGTCCGCAAGGAAAAGCTGACCACCCTCAGCGAGGAACTGGTCATACTACTTGACATTGCAATAGAACAAGTACCGGCCGTACTACTGGATATGCGTTCCATGTTACGGTGCCTTGGAGCCTGCGTAGGTCAAATGGACAGCTACGCGGCTGGACTGACCAGCCTCTGGGTCTTGCCGTGGACCAGTCCATCCACCCCTTGATGCTTTCCCAATTTTTGTGATGGGTAGCGTGGAAGATAAAGCCCGGTTGCTGACAGCGCTCCAAAGACAGCGGCTCACCCAGAGTCTAGGGAGCAGCCGCATCCGACACACGGGAGTGGGCTTGAGTCGCCGACAAGGAAATGTACCAGTCAATGCTGGGGCCCAATGTCATCGGGCGAGCCTCCTCAGCTGGATGTGCACGGCGAACCTCGATTTGATCTGGTGTGGCGCCCACCGAAACGTCTGGAGCTGGGAGTCAATGGACTCGAAGAGGGCATCGTTGTAGAGGCCCAATTCCAAACCCTTGTTGTGGCGCAGGGCGTAAGACAAGCACTTGCTAGTCTTTACCTGCCAGCAGTTCTGATTTGCTTGGGCGGCTGCGTGGCGTAGCTTGAATCCCCCAGCTGTCAAGCTGCTGCATCACAACAAGCTGGCTCTTTGTGACAGCGCCAAGAAAATAAGCAATGAAGTTGGCTTTCCAGACCTGCCGCAGGTACAAGACGTGTATGGATGGATTGGCCGTCTCAAAGGCCATGATGTGGTGAACCGTCGCGACTTGTCCCTCCAGAATTTCCAGCGCCGAGACTGGATTCAACGTGCTGTTCTTGTGAATTCTTGTGTCGTGCCCTTCATATGGCAATTGCTCGGATAGATCTTCAAGGGCGGCGCAGGAAAGGTCGAAGGCCATGATCTGTCTCCGTCGGGCAGATAGGCAGTCTCGCCAGTCCCTCCGCAAGAGCGGAGCCTCTGGCGCTGCGCCCACAACCTGCTCTTGACACACTCTGAGTAGTCTGGGAGTCCAGTGGTAAGGCCCACTGGCGCACGAGCGCCCAGACTTGGCACCCAGAACTTGACGGCAACACTGGCGGGAAAAGAAGATGAAGCCACGATGTCAAGGTCAATAGGAGAGCAGATCACTACAGAAAGGCTTGAATTCTTGGGCGCTGCAGTTTGCAGGCGCAAATCTAAAAAGAGACACAACACTCCCAACTTGCAACAAGACATGCTGAAGAAATTGAGTACCTTTTGAAATTCAAAAGCATCTCACAATCTCATGGGTGTCTGTAAGGATCCCTTCACAAAGTGAAGGCTTCCTGAGTGCTCAACTCAACGCGACATGTGGGTCAACATGAAGCATGGAGACAAAACATAACTGTATC